CCTCTGCATTGTGGGTCTAGTCTCACTCGTCTCTTTCTTGTAACTCCTTCAGAGGAGTCATAGGGGTCTTGGTGGCCTCCTTCAATCATCTTACATAAAGACTTATTTTACATTTTCATGTACTTCAAAATTGAATTGTAGAAATTTGTTTCCACTTTGACACGTCCAAACAGCCAAAGTATATTTATTATCCTGTCTTTGATTCAGTGCTGTAAAGTAATGAAAGTGGATAACTTTTATAGAGCCTGTATATCTGTGGTCAAAGGTTCTTTGCGCTGTGACAGAGACCTTTGAATCTGGGTGGAACCACACTGTAAAAAACATCCAATGACAAAACAACTGTGACAATCTTCTTTTACACGTTGACAAATGTCCCTTCGTACGAACAGACTGATCTCCAGACAGACAGCTCTCCATGCGCATGGACCAATAGTTCTGCTGCAGTAATACCTCCATACCATACGCGCTCCGATCTCCCTGAAACTCGACACGCCGGATCAGAGTCCTGACCAGACTGTGTTTACACCAAACCCTGACGTGCTCGAGGATCAACAATCGTACGGTGAGGACTCGACCATCGCTGCTAGCAGCTTTCATTTATTTTCATTACACTTTAAACCTGGACAATTTACTGTTATTTACGGATTCAAAGTGCTGATAATATACAGTAAAATGACTGAAAGACAATATTTACAAAAAGAAAGAAAAAACTGGCAAGATATAGAATCTGAGAGAATCATTTTTGTTTTTTTTTTTTGAACCTTTCAAACATTTGACTGTTAAATTAGACGGTTTTTACGACCTTTAAATCAGCAGCACAAAACATTATTTGCTGTTAATTGAAAGAAAAAAAAATTGGATGTTAAGGACTGAAAAATGCCAACTGAGGTTTAAAGCTGTTTTTTTTGCAGATTTTGTGTTTTAGAAAAAAGGAGCTTTGTTTTTCTTTGTTTCAAATTTGTTTTTTAGCTGTTATTTAGGGATTTGGGACAAAAATTGCTCAGAAACTGTAAAGAATTTTTCTTGTTTTGAAAAATGAAGGAGTTACTAGAAGGAGACTAGTGAGGGAGACCACCAGGAGTGCTCTTTCCACCACTCCACAGTGTCCCCAGTCCAGGTCAGTGGATCTCCCCCTCAACTGTCCACAGCCTGGTCAAGCCGGGCCTACCCTGCCTGAGGTGATGAACGATTTGCCAGAACTTCCTTGAGATCAACTGAAAGTCCATAGTCTCTCTGAACTTAAGTTCAACTATAGTGGTGGGATCTCTGGATAGTGGGCCTTATGGGTGGTGGGCCCTCTGCATTGTGGGTCTAGTCTCACTCGTCTCTTTCTTGTAACTCCTTCAGAGGCGTCATAGGGGTCTTGGTGGCCTCCTTCAATCATCCTACATAAAGATTTATTTTACATTTTATATTTTCATGTACTTCAAAATTGAATTGGAGAAATTTGTTTCCACTTTGACACTTTGTCTGAAAAGCCAAAGTATATTTATTTTGCTGTTTTTGATTCAGTGTTGTAAAGTAATGAAAGTGGATAACTTTTATAGAGCCTGTATATCTGTGGTCAAAGGTTCTTAGCGCTGTGACAGAGACCTTTGAATCACACTGTAAAAAACATCCAATGACAAAACAACTGTGACAATCTGGCAGAAAAAAACATTAAAATTCAGTGAAATAATGAGACGTTCAAAAACTGTGAACGAAAATATCTGTAAAATAACTAAAGAGGGAAAATCGGTGAAGTCGCAGAAAATTGTTTTTAAAAGTCTGACAGTTTTAAAGTGTTAAAAAACGTTGATGTTTTACAGTGACGGTGTTTTTACAACATGACAGGTGAGCAGAGAGCTGACTGGATCTAACTGGTTCATACAGACTCACTTCACTGAAAGCTGCTGCTCAGANTGATAAAAATAAAACTCCACAAATAAACGGTGGATTCTAACAGCAGTGGAAAGAAACCAGAACATTCAAGCGCTGTAAAGATAATAACTATAATTAATAAATATTCACTTTTTAGAGTCTGGGCGCTACAGAGCTGCTGGGAGTTTTATTATTATTCTTCAGCTGAAACAGACACGTTTCTGACGGCTTCAACATGCACGAAAAAATCACCAAAAACACCAAAATCACATGAGGACTGGCGAAAAATATGATATTTTGAGGTAATTGGGCATGTCAATGGTGAAGTGGCTCCACAGCGTCCCCTTGAAAATGTTAACAGAGTCCTGTTGGAAGCACGTTTGACCCAGAGCTACACAATTTGGTGGCCACATGGAGCAAGTCAGGACGGATAAAATAGTCCCCCTGCTCCAAGCTCTAACATGCAACACAGCTCAACTGCGCCCCCTACAGTATTTAAACAGAGTCCCATCACGGCTACGTTTGACGGCACACATGTAGCAGGTCGGGACGCACGAGAAAGTCCATCAGCACATTTCCGTAAACCCAACAGGAAATCCGCCATGTTGGAAAAACGGCATGTAAGAAGAGTTGTCAATGTGGCCAAAGGTATTCGTAGTTAAAAAATCTACGTATTCGAGTCGAGCAGCTTCCCCCGTTGGCTGTCTATTCACATGACTTCAGATCTGAAACTAAAAAGCATCTGAAGATCCGGGTTTCTGTGTCCTGAGCTCTGGCTCACGGGATCGTTCACTGGTACCGCTCTGCTGCTCTGTGCCTCAGTAGTTATTACGGGTCTGAATGTTTTACACATTTGAAAACCTGATTACAGACAGATTGTGAGACGACTTTAGCAGATTCTGGTTCGCATTGACAATCTTCTTTTACACGTTGACAAATGTCCCTTCGTACGAACAGACTGAGCTCCAGACAGACAGCTCTCCATACGCATGGACCAATAGTTGTGCTGCAGTAATACCTCCATACCATACGCGCTCCGATCTCCCTGAAACTCGACATGCCGGATCAGAGTCCCGACCAGACCACGTTTACACCAAACCCTGACGTGCTCGAGGATCAACAATCGTACGGTGAGGACCCGACCATCGCTGCTAGCAGCTTTCATTTATTTTCATTACTTTTTAAACCTGGACAATTTACTGTTATTTTTACGGATTCAAAGTG